TGATCATCTCGGAAAGTTCAAGTGGTAAAAAAATCAGTGCTTTATGAAACTGTGATAAGCACATTATAGTAGCCGTTGAGCAAGCGCAGTTTGTGAAGTCAAATCGTTAGTAAGGCGGTTGCTAAAGTGAGTAAGTGTAAATCGTAGACCCCTGAATACACTGTAGCCACCTCATCTTGAGCTACAAGGTATTTGGGCTACCACCTAACACCACCATAATCCGAGAAAGGTCCATTCCAATCTACTGCTTCAAGCGACTGCACACCTTGCCCCCGAGTAACGATGCGACTGCGGCGCTGCGCCCGCTTTGCGATGATGTCAGCCCTAGTTCGGGACAAGACTTCATAGTGAACGAGGAGCAAGTTTGCAACCGTTCGATAGTATTTTCTATCACTACGGAATCATGCTTATTATTCACAGCAACTCTCGGAAGTTTTTCGCCAGCACTACGGCACTGCCAAGATTACTAAAGTAAAAGTCTCGCGCTTATAGATCATGCTATACAACAAGACTACCGTAGTTAGAAAAGTACGCACTATTTTTTATCTAGCCACTACCATAAAACTACGCTCTCAGACAACTGACCGGAACTTCCGCAGAACGTTCGCGAAAGTTCCACAGGGTCACCCGCGAAAGTTCCATGTGCGGAACCGCTGGCCTTTTTTGGAAGTTTCGCAGCGTTTTGTAAAAAGTCCTGCGGAAGTTCCCGCTTTTAACCAGTCTGACGGAAATTCTGCGGAAGCATTTTCAACACTTCCACTTTATAATAGTAAACAACATTCTAGCTGCCGCAAATTTTGCTTGTCCTGCGGAAGTTCCGGTAAATTGTCTGAACTAGCAACTATTTGGCATGCACTAGATCACCTTTGAGAAGATGAGGGAGGTGCGTGCTCGCTTGTTTTCCGTTTTGGACGCCCACTTACTGTTACTGCTCTAGAAGAAAAACTACTTATTAACGTGAAAGTAAGACTACAGTCTACAGCGCTTTTTATACGAAGCAAATCAAAAGGTCTGGGTTACACATACCTTGCTCTTGGGCTCATTGCGTGTTCAGGTCCGGATAGCACATCTGTCAATGACATGAAGGCATCCGGAGCTGAAGTTTTTCTTGTCAGGGAGGCTTTCCTGTAAGTGTCTGCCGGTGCAATGAAAATTTCATTCCTAAAAGCGAAAATTCACGAATAATCTTTGCTTTCGTGACGTGCAAATAAATCCAATGTCAGTTGTAAAAGTTGGCAGAACTTTGATGCTTTTATGGTCCGTGACATGATTTAAACTCTATTATATAGAATTTATAAACTCTATTATATAGAATTTCAAGAATCCTGAAGTTCAGGATCAAAC